TATAAACAATCTATATGTATATATCATATATATATATATATATATATATATAGACCAGACCCAAAACACAAAAACCACACAGTATGCAAACATATATAAGTTCGTACCTCCGCATGTACATACACTCTCCTTAAATATATAAAACACACTTGTATCTGTTTACTAACTATACAACATACTGATGTAACACGTGTTGTATCATATGTTGCAGAGGGTGATATTGACGCGCCTATAGATCTGCCGCCAGAGTTGGCTGCGAAGCTATCGGATAGCGACTCTCCAGGCACGGACAGGTATGTACAGGAAGACGACATTCTGTACTCACAAATATGACATCTTGCACTCGAATATAACATTCTGCGCTCAAACGCGACAGACCGTCTATACTCAGAATACTCACATACGCCATTTAGTACTTCAAAATACGACTCGTGAACTTGGTTTCAGATGCGACTCTTTGGATTCGAATACGACAATAGATGCCTTGCACGGTACTTAGGTATATGGAGCCTACTTGACATTAGATGTATGTAGGTACTTACATACAAGTCAGTAGGTACTTGCATACATGTCAGTAGGTACTTGCATACATGTCAGTAGGTACTTGCAAACATGTCAGTAGGTACTTGCTTACATGTCAGTAGGTACTTGCATACATGTCAGTAGGTACTTGCATACATGTCAGTAGGTACTTGCATACATGTCAGTAGGTACTTGCATACATGTCAACAGGTACTTGCATACATGTCAGTAGGTACTTACATACATGTCAGTAGGTACTTGCATACATGTCAGTAGGCACTTGCATACATGTCAGTAGGTACTTGCATACATGTCAGTAGGTACTTGCATACATGTCAGTAGGTACTTGCATACATGTCAGTAGGTGCTTGCATACATGTCAGTAGGTACTTGCATACATGTCAATAGGTACTTGCATACATGTCAATAGGTACTTGCATCCATGTCAGTAGGTACTTGCATACGACAATTGATGTCTTGCACGGTACTTAGGTATATGGAGCTTGACATTAAGCACATAGACATAGAGCCTACTTAGCGGTAGATGTATGTAGGTACTTGCATACGACAGTTTGAACTCAATATACGACTTGCATGTTTTCTTGGCCCTGCATGACACGTGCGACGTTATAAAATAGACGCATACTCTATCTAAAAATAGATTCAGACTCTTATCTAAAAATAGATTCCTACTTTATCTCAAAGTAGATTTGTATATTTGTATTGTAGAAGAAAAAATAAATTTGTATATCTATTACATTAGATTTGTATATCCATTACATTGGATTTGTATATCCATTACATTAGATTCCTATATCTTTCATATTAGATTCCTATATCTATTATATTAGATTTGTATATTTATTACATTAGATTTGTATATCTATCATAATAGATTAGTATATCTATTATATTAAATTTGTATATCCATTACGTTAGATTTGTATCCATCACATTAGATTTGTATATCTATTATAATAGATATGTATATCTATACCATTAGGTTTGTATATCTATTACATTAGATTTGTATATCCATTACATCAGATTCGTATATCCATTGCATTTATCTAACGTACGTGTATCAGGTTTCCCGCTGGCCAGAAGGCGTTGCCCGTGCCTGAGAACAGTTTGTTCATGAATATGTTGATGCTACACGGCTTCTTAGCTTTACGTGACACCCGCAAGATGCGAGAGCGGTTTGAGGCGTGGATGGAGACCAAGATCATGGACTTGAAAAAGGTAACGCACGCATGCACCGACACAGACCAGGAGTGTAGTTACACCATGTACTTCTCTCGTATGTGTCTTGTATTACTGCATATGCTTCTCCATGGTCAGGTGATTGGTAGTGTGAGTGTAGTTACACATGTACTTCTCGCTCAAGTGTGTTCGTATGCTTGTCCATGGTCAGGTGATTGGTAGTGTGCGTGTAGTTACACCATGCTACTTCTCTCTTCTGTATCTTGTATGCTTGTCCATGGTCAGGTGATTGGTAGTGTGCGTGTAGTTACACCATGTACTTCTCTGCTATGTGTCTTGTATTACTGCATATGCGTCTCCATGGTCAGGTGATTGGTAGTGTGCGTGTACATACACATGCACTTCTCTCTTAAGTGTCGTCATACAACCCTAAAACCTTTAAACCCTAAAAACCCTACACCCTGCACGTGATTGGTAGTGTGAGTGTAGCTACAACTGTGCTTCTCTCCTAAGTGTCTTCATACAACCCTACAACCCTAAAACCCTAAAAAAAACTTTAAACCCTACACCCTGCAGGTGATTGGTAGTGTGAGTCTAGTTGAGTATGATTTGGGCCATAGTACGCCCTTCCTGACCAATTGCCAAGTGACTGAGTCGGTTGTGGCCAACGACTTCAACCGCACCACAGTCTATTGCGATCTCAGATACACCGGCGCACTCTCCTTCACGCTGCATGTGGTATGCGTGTATGTACATGTGTAGTGTATGCGTGTATGTACATGTGTAGTGTATGTCTATACGTACATGTGTAGTGTATGTATATACGTAAATGTGTAGTTTATGTGTATACGTACATGTATAGTGTATGTATGTATATGTAGGGTATGTGTCTATGTACATGTTGTACATGTGTAATGTGTGTATGTACAAGTGTAGTGTTTGTATGTATATGTAAGGTATGTGTGTATGTACATGTGTAGTGTATGTGTATACGTACATGTGTAGTGTATGTATGTATATGTAAGGTATGTGTATATGTACACGTGTAGTGTGTGTATGTACATGTGTAGTGTATGTATGTATATGTAAGGTATGTGTCTATGTACATGTGTAGCGTGTGTATGTACATGTAAAGTAAGTGTGTATACGGTATGAATGTATGAATATATTCTGTACGTATATACGTGTGATGAGTCTGTGTATATATAGGATGAGTATTCCGTTAATCATGTGTGTGTGAGGATGTATTTATGTGTTACATACACATATACATGTACCTATGGTTTATGTACATGCACTATGGTTTATATACATGTACCCATGGTTTATATACATGCACCTATGGTTTATATACATGACCTTTGCATTTGACTACGAGGGAACAGTTGAAATGCGGTTTACTGAGATAAGAGGGGCTGAAAGCTTCTGCTGAAACAATGTAATGCGATAGTATACACTCACACATACACACACATAGTTATAATAATATATAT